GAGTCTTAGAATAACCGAACTTTTCAGAGCTTGGAGGGACCGGCCAGGCCCTCAGAGTCAAACATTCCTTGACCTTCTTGATGTGCTAATACCTCCTAACGGAACTCTTGTACAGCATAACGCTTTGTGCAGGCTGCTGATCAAAAGGTCTGGGATTCAAAACCACTTGTGAGACTGATGAACAGTCTCCTCCCATAAAGATTTGTTGTTCTTGTTGTTGTTGTGTAACGTCAGGCCGGGACTGAACTATAGCTGGCCATCCAGCAGGTTTTCAGAGGCAGTTAATCACACAGGAGGAGACTGCCCATCTTTCTGTCATGGAGCGGCTGGTGGATTTGAACCACATACCTTTGTGTTGGCAATGCAATTCCTTACTGACCTCGGAAACCTAATGGAGGGTCACTTTGAGTCACAGTGGGTAATACACGTAATGTGCCAAATTTGTTTAAAAAGCTATTAAGTTGACCTAATATGAGGAACGAACTTCCTCGTTTACTGAAGGGAGGATGAAGAAGGGAAGAACATGGGCTTTGTATCCAGGTGGGCTTGGGTGGAAAAACCAGCAGCATCATATCTCGACCCATTAATCCTCTGCACTCTGCCTCCTGGGCTCAGTGCCTGGGTCCTTCTCTGTCAAATTAGAGTGATTTTATGATTATCATTCCTTTTGAGAGTAAAAGGGAGTGGCTCTTAATATTTATTCCAAAACAACATGAATGAACTGGGAAGCAGGGAAAAATAGGGCATGTGGCCGCCCTGTTCCAGCCTTCTGTTAGGGGGCCAGCTTGGCTGTGATTTTGTCCCTGTGTTACCAGCTTCAGCTGTTGCATAATGAAAATGCTTCCTGGAAAGTATTTACTTTCTGAGCCTCGTTTCCCTCTTCTGTAAAATGAGAATTAAAGTGTGCGTATCTGACTTACTTTTGAGGTGGTTATTGTGAGGACTAAGAGAGAGGGTGAGAAAAGCCTTTGTGATTGTGAACTCAGAGTGAACAGTTGTGTAACTAAATATTACTCGTATTGTTTCTAACAGGCACTGTATGCACTGATAGGAATGTGTCATTTCTCCAGTGTTCAGACTGCTGTTAGCTCAGCCCACGCGAGTTAACTGGCCGCAGTTATATCTCTTATGTGTAGTGACTTCTTAAACCAAAAAATTGTGAATTACTTCTCTAAGTAAATTTTCCATTCAACAGTTCATACACATTTCACTTCTTGTTATTGATTGCAATTCCCACAAAGTAATGACCTTTCCACCATATCCTCCCTGTGTTTCTCTTTCCATTCCTCCTTTCCTCACCCTTTCTGGCTTCTGAACTTTGTCTTTAAGCAAATGCCGCCCTTAGAGCACAAATGAGCGATTGTTCTAAGGACTGTGTACCTCTCTAGTGTAACTGTTAATCTTTCAGACCTCTCTATTGTTGGGCAGAAAGTTGAGCTATAGAGGTGAGTTCAGTTCTAGGCCTGCGGGGTGACTAAGGGCCAAAGTTTTAGGATTCCACCAGTCTCAGACACCTGATTTTTCTTTCGGTTCCCCCTGCCCTTTTTGTATGATTGAGGGTTTCCCCTTCATTTCCCTGACACTCTTTTTAGGACCTTCTGATGTGATCCCTTTCAGAGTGGTGGGGACCATCTAATTCTTCTGGCCTGAGGCTCCTGAAGGTTGAGGTCTGCATCATCTGTTATTCCTTGGGACTAATTGTTTCCATGTGTTTTTCCTTTCTTCCACTCAGCTTTAGACAGAGAGTTGCACTTTTATAAGCCTCTGACTTTTTTAGGGAACAGGATGGATCCCGCTAGCTGCTTGTGGAGGAACACATTTGCTCACGTGTGCTTTCAGCTCAAGTGGGTTGAGGTTCCTAGAGCTGGTTGCAACCCTCAAGACAATGTGAGAACTGATAGCATCACACGTGTTTCTACACATGAGGAAACTGAGGCCCAGGAGAAGAAGCTATCTCCTCCAAGGTCACACGAGCTCATGACCCCAGGGATGAGACATGGATTGGAGGTCAAGGAGAAGGGAACCTTGGTTAAGTACCAAATCTGTAAGACATGCTGGGGTCTAGAACCAGGCGTTGGTCCTTAGCTGGCCTGCACCCTTGGCAAGGAGAAAGACCTAGGCCCAGACAGGACCACTACCCTAGGGCTCCTTATTACCCCCTCGTGAGTGCAGACACACAAAAGGGAGAGCTGTTACTCAAGGTAGCTGGACAGCTGTCCGTCTTTCCAGCCCACTGAGCTCAGCACAGGCCTCCGCTGGAGCGCCTTCCTCCCTGGTCACTGCTTCCAGTGGCCGAGCTTCTCTTCATTGCTAGAGAATCAACAGGAGAAGCTGACATCTCCCACCTGGAAACAAATGTCAGGAGAGCAGGCTAACTTTTGAGCCTAAGAAGTGACACAAATCAGCAACATAGGCCTCAGGCAGGGTGTCCCTTTCCCTTACACCTCCCTCACTGCATGCCAGCAGACATAGGACACTGAAGGAGCCGGGGCTGGGGAGATGCCTCTTTGCCCTGGTCTAAGGATCCGAGAGCAGGTTACTGCCCTGCATTGATGACATCCCGGTGCCCTTCTTAGTGGAGTGGGAGTTAAGGATGTGGATGGGTGTTCATTCTGATCAGGCCCTGCTCCACCTTGGAAATAGGTTCACCTGGAGGGAGGTCTTTTACCATTTGAGGGTAAGTCCCCACTTGCAGGCAGGAGAAGACTAATCCTGATCTAAGCTGTTCTTTTATATATGGATTTCCATTCATTCATTGTTGCACTTTTCTCCCCACCCACACGTACTGCCCAGTTCACTCTTCTCTTTGAAACGTAAAAGAAAAATTCCTTCATTGTTATACCATCCCTTCCTCCAAGTCCACTCCACTATGTAGCCTTCATTCTGGACTCCTGTCAAGACAATAATACCTAATTATATATCCCTTTAAAATAGTTATCTCTTTCATCTGTTTCAATGCAATATACATAATTTATCCCATCTTTCTCAGTCTCCCCCCAAACCCGATGCCAGTCCTCTGTTATAACAGTGGTATTATGCAGTATTTGTCTTTTGGTGACTGAGATATTTCACTCAGCATAATGTCCTCCAGGGTCACCCATTTTGTGTAATATTTCATGAGGTCCTTGTTTTTCAATACAGCATAGTATTCTATTGTGTGAATATACTAGAACTTCTCCATCCATTCGTTTGTTGATGGGCAGTTGGGTTGTTTCCAACTCTTTGCTATTGTGAACAGAGCCGCAATCCACATAGGTGTGCACTGATCCAAACTCTTAAAGGAGACATTCTTCATCTGCAGACCAGACTCGTCCCCAATTCTGTCCTGGGCTTAGGGACATAAATATTGTAGAGAAAGTCTGTGTAGTGTAGCCAGCAGTATTGAGGTCATGCAGGTGTTCCCATTGTTTACACAACCTGTATTTCCAGCCCAGCTATTAATATTTGAGCCCTGCCTGGCCATTTATGAAAGCTGAAGATGAGAGCAGATAGCAGAGAAAGACTGGAAAGGGGCTGACCAATGGACTGGACAGTACTGGGCTGGGTCCTGGCCAGCAGCTTGCAGGGCACAGGTCCCTGGCTCCTTCTCCTTTCCTCGCCCCTCCCCATCCCTTTTTCCACTGGGAGAGTCACAAGGCAGGATCCTGGTGACAGGAAGTGAAAAGGGAGGTTCCAGTCAAGTGACCCATGGCCGAAAAGCTATTCAGGGCCTGGGCTTGCTTGAGACAGGACTGATTTCTTGCTATGTTCTGCTTTCTGACTTTCCCCTGGGCAGGGACGGGAGTGGCTCTTCTACCTGTCATTCTGTCCCACTTCCTCCCCAGCCCCTCCATCCAGCCCAACACAAGGATGCCACAAAGCCTCACACCAGGGGCCTGCAGCCCCCACCCCCCACACCAGTTTCCTCTCTGAGAACTAAAGAAAATAAACCCCACCAGGGTTTTCAAAGTGGGGCATGGACAGCACGTCCCACAAGTAGGGCCCAATGAAAACCTTAGAAAGCCTGGTTCTGCCTCTTTTTTACCTCACCCTTTAAAAAATTTTGTACCCTGTGAGTTTTGCCGTATATGTGTATTTCCGTACTTCCAAAGTGATGTACTTACATGTGATTTCCAAGATTCCATAATTTGGGGCTTGAGCAAAAAAATAATCTACTGATAGGGATGTACAAGCAAATGGGGGTCATAAACATTGTGTGAAAGGCCAGATGGTAAATGGTTTTTTGTTTTCTTGGCAGTTAGGTCTCTGGTGCAAGGACTCAATTCTGCTATAGCACAAAACCTCCTTAGACAGAGGATGTGGTCGTGTCCTGACAAGACTTGATTTATAGGCACTGAAATTTGAATTGCAGGGAAATTTCACTTGTCGCAAAATACTCTTTTGATTTGTTGTCCCTCAGACATGAAAAATGTAGACGGTGCTCTTAGCCCAGGGCTTTATGCAATGAGGCAGTAGATAGATTTGGCCCATGAACCTCATATTGCTGTTCTGAGTTCTAAAACTTGAACCTGCTTCACATTTGCCTAGGAAGGTTTTTAAGAACCCATAGTGTGTCGTGCCAGCCCTGGCTTTATAGATCCTGTGGGGGCCCTGGAATATGCATTCCAGTAGCAACTAAGTTGATTCAGAAGAAATTGGTCCAACGATGAATCTTTGAGAAGCCCAGTTCTGGAGGGTCTCCAGGGTTTTGGTCTATTCGGTTCAGCCAATTCCTGCCCCTGCCAAGTGCCTGAGACAGTGCTGTGGAAGCCCTAGGCCAGGCCTGGGGATGAGACATACAGAACTCTTCCAGGAGCTGCTGCCCAATGGGGGACACTGACCATCTACATCACAGCAGTGCCCTCCATGCTGTGGTGATAGATGCGAGGCCTGGAACTCAGCCAGGTCTCTCCACCTAGACTCCTTTCAGGAAGCTTTCTTATTCCAGGATCTGGTGTGTATCAGGAGGGACACTTGGGTTGGCTCCTGGCGTCCTTTACCCAGTGTCTTCTGCTCTGTAGATAAAGTACCACGAGGAGTTTGAGAAGAGCCGCATGGGCCCCAGCGGAGGTGAAGGGCTGGAACCAGAGCGCCGAGACTCCCAGGACAGCAGCAGCTACCGACGGCCCCAGGAGCATCAGCAGCAGCAGCCTCACCACATCCCGACCAGCACCCCAGGTGAGGGCCAACCTGTGGGCCATAGGGGTGGGAAGGAGGGTGGACAAAAGTCCTGTGCACACTGCTTCCAAACTCCAGGTCCCACTTCATCAAAGACGTGAGAGCTGGAGTCAGGCCTGGGGGTAGGATGGGGAGGGGGCCTGAGAGGAGCAGAGGGTAGGCCCAATGTGATGAGAGGGGACACCTCCATTCTCCAAGAGGTCCCTGTGCGATGGGGACATAATGCCTCCTGAAGAGTCCACAAAATGGACCTTGAGTAAAGGGTGGTAAATTCCAGGTTGAGGTGTGTGATGCTGCTTACAGGAAGGGAGTGGCTTGTCTCAGGGAGATGATATATGGTGTGGGCCTTCTGGTGGGAGGAATGGAAGGGCATTTTCTGAGGCCCTGTCTCCACCTGTTTTGCAGTTTACCAGCAGCCCCAGCAGCCACCGATGGCCCAGTCCTATGGTGGCTATAAGGAGCCTGCAGCCCCCGTGTCCATACAGCGCAGCGCCCCAGGCGGCGGTGGGGTGAGTAGCCATCCTGAGATGGGCAGATCCAGGAGGCCTTGCTTCTCCTGGCCTTTGACCCTGATCCTTGTTGTCTGTCTGTTGATACTGGGGATCTCATAGTTTTCCTTTTTTAAAAAATTACTTTCTCTTTTTGAAAGTAAAAAGTAAAGGTTTGTTAGAAAGTTACATCAGAAAGATGGGATGGATCTTCCATCTTGGAAACGAAGTGTGTGAGGCCTTAATTACTTTTAAAATTGTGATTCGAGTGGAAGTTTATAAATCCAGTTTGTTTTCTGTTCAACTATTTGTACACATATTGTTTTAGAACAATAATTATAATACCTACTTCCTCCCTTTAATGCTCATTTCCGTTAATCCTTCACTTCAGCCTAACAGGCTTTGTGCTCAGACAGACACTGTTCTTTTGATCTGATGTGGTTGGTTGTTTTAAGGAGTGAATGCCTCCCTGGGATCTCAACCTTTCACACTGAGAGGAAGGAAAGGAGGTGGAGTGGGCAGGGTCCTGTCTTCGGATCCAGCCTGGGACATTCCTTGAACAAGTCATTTTGTTTCTCACCTATGAGATGAGGCATTTGGACTCAGAGACCTTCCCTCTCGGGTTCTGAGCAGTACAGATAGAGATTAGGGGCTTCTTAAGGAGTTTGCCCCACACAGATCCCAGGACCTAACTTGGGGTATTGCACAAGCTAATCTAACCCTGGAAACAAATGTTAGAGTCATTGCTGTTGAGTTGGAACTAATTCATGGCTGACCCTCCAGAGAGTTTTTGGAAGCTGTAAGTTGCATGGAAGGAGATTGCCCATCTTTCTCCTGAGGAGCCACAGGTGGATTTGCACTACCAGAGAGGAGCGGCCTTCTGGCTAGCAGCATAGCTCTGTACAGACCCTGCCACTGGAGTTCCCAGAGACAGGACGGTGCCAAAGGCAGTGAAGGTCGGAGCAGGTTAGACTTTAGAGCCACCTCTTCACCGCTGGCAGATTCTGTGGACAGTCACTGAACACTCCCTAGAGCTGGGAATGGATTTGCCTATTTGCAGGTTTGGAAGGTGGAACCTGTTAGTTACTGTGTCACCTGGAGATTTTTCTCCTAAGAAAATGTCTTTGTCCTGAATTTAGGAGAGAAGCCAGGCTCACCACAACTTTAAAAAGAAAATCTGGTGCTTATAATAATAAAATCAGGAATTAATAAGGCGTGCCATCTTTTAAAAATATTTCTCTTGGCACTGTGTCCATTGAACCTGACATACTAGTGTTTGGGAGGTGGAGTAGAACTGACTGTACTGAAACCTTACTTACTGTGTGCCTGGCTCCGGTTGCCGTTTTGGGTGTTATCATGTCAGTTCAAATCAAACCTATGTGACCGGTAAGAGTGTCCCATAGGATTTCATAATCTTTATAAGAACAGATCTTTTTTCCTCATGTGGGTTTGAACTGCCAACATTTCAGTTAGCACTTAAATATTGTGTCATCAGGGCTCGTAGACTCCTTCACAACTCATTGTCGAGTTGATTATAGAGACTCTGTAGGCAGGAGTAGAACTGCCCGTAGGGTTTCCAAGGCTGGGAATCTTCACGAAAGCAGACTGCCACATTTTCTCCCTAGTGACTGGTCGGTTTCCACCACTCATCTTTCTGCTAGCAGCTAAGTGCTTTAACCACTCTGCCACCAGGGCTCCTTTGGCTCCTTCATACTATACTGCTCTGCTCTACTCTACTACATACTACTACTGCTGCCTCAGCTGACCTTCCAGCAGGTTTTCAGGAGGCTGTGACTTGTATGGGAGAAGCTGCTGCTGGATTCGAACTGCCAGAGAGGCACTACCTTTGGGTTAACCTATAGGCCACCAGAGTGGCCTTGGTTCCTTCCTTGGTGTTATGTGCCATCGAGTCAGAACTGACCCATGGCTGATGATTCAGTGAGTTTTCAGAGGTAGTAAGTCGCACAGGAGGAGATTGCCCATCTTTCTCCTGCAGAGCTGCTAGAGGATTCGAACCACATACCTTTGGGTTGGCAGCACAGTTCCTTACCACTAAGCCGCCAGAACACCCTGATGCCAAGTACATTGTCAGAAGTGGGATTGCTTTTATAGAGTGTTATATGGCTGAGTAACCTAAGATTTGTATGATGTATATTATACATGAATGGGTGATTGGAATACCAGTCTGCTCTGTAAGCTTTCACTCAAATCACAATTTTTTTTAAAAAAGAATGTTTGTGGCAGAGCCCAGCCTCGGTCTCCCAGCCCTTGGCTCACTGTCTACCCGGGGATCTGCTGGGAGGTCTTAAAATGACAGAGAAATGGCTCTGTGGCCCCAGAGTGACTGTGCTCCCCTCCACAGAAGCGGTACCGCGCCGTGTATGACTACAGTGCAGCCGATGAGGATGAGGTCTCCTTCCAGGACGGGGACACCATCGTCAACGTGCAGCAGATCGACGACGGCTGGATGTATGGGACCGTGGAGCGCACCGGTGACACGGGCATGCTGCCGGCCAACTACGTGGAGGCCATCTGAGCTACATGGTGGCCGCCGGCAGCACCCTGCCCACCCTCCGTCTTCAGTGCATTCCACAGCATCACATCCGTCTGAGGTGCCATCCGGCGCTTGGGAGTCTCTGATTTTTTTCAATCTGCAACAGCTTGTTTCCTCCCGTCCCCCCTCCAGCTTCTTTTGCCAACTGAAGCCTTGTCTGCCATTCCCTCGGGCTCCTCCTCTGGCTGGTTTCCCCCTTGGACAACTTCTGGGTTTTTCTCTCTGGATGGAACAGGTGTGGGTTTCTCTGGGGTGGGCTTGGCCTGTTGGGCTGGGCTGGGCTGGAGTGGGAGGCTGACCTCAATGGCCTTCTGTATTTAATGCCCCCTCAGACCTTCCTGTCCACCCCCCTCACCCACCCAAACATTCCAGGCCTGGGTGAGCCCCAGGACCCCCAGGAGAGGGGCACCACACATCTCGGCAAGTGGGAACCCACTCCCTTGGCCCTGAGATGGGAAGAGACTGCTGTTGTGTCGGGACCAGTACAGAGTCCTCTGCTTCTCAAAGAGAGGACTCTGGCTCTCCAGAAAGTCTTCTGAACGGCTGTTTCCCTCTCAAGGACAAAAGGAGACTAAAGTCCCCACAATAGGGTTCATCGCCCCCTCCTCACATGCATTCCTTCTCACACTGTGATTTTTACCCTCCTGCCCACATGGACCTGGTGTAGGCAAAATGCTCTCTGGGAAGCACGGCTGGGGTCAGTTCTTGCCCTTCTTAGTTTTATGGACAGCTGTGAGGCAGGAGAACAAGGTATTCTCTCCTCCAACCCTTTTCCTTCTTCCAAACCCCCATCTCCAGGAACCTTTGCTTGCTTCCTCAGTGGAAGCCCTAATCCTCAAGGATGGGACAGGGGGTCTTGGGGCGTCTCTGCCCATGCCACCTCCAGCTCCCCGAGATCAGGGTTAGGTATCCTGCTCCTCCTGACTCCTTTTGAGAAAGTGTGCCAAGGCCTCTCCACAGCCTTCCCTCCTGGCCCAGAGTCAAATGGACCCGGTGCCATGAAAAGCCAGTGGGAACCTCTGTGACCCAGGACTTAGCATGTGTGGAAGAAGGTGCGAGTGTGTCAGTGTCAGAAAAGAGGGCAAAGTCCTGTGACTGTTGGTGCCTCAGGGGTCATGTGCAGGTGGGTACCTGGAGCCATCTTCTCCTGGTATTTTCCTCAAAACCCATCGTGAGAGGGGACAGCCCTGGGAACAGTGTTCCTTCTGTGTTCTTTGGGTCCTACTTTCCTCTTGGGTGCCTCACTCTGAAGGTTCTCTCCTCAGACCTCTTCCTCTATCACATTAAAGCCCCCGTGGAACAGAGGAAGAAGGGTCCCAGGGCTACATAACTGGAAGCACAGACTCCAGGATGAGGAAGGGAAAGGTGGTGCTATCTCCAAGTTCCTTCTCTCTGCCCCTTGGCCTGGCTTTATTCATCTCTGGGCTTTCCTGTCATCCTTCTGCTTCCCATCCCACCCCCTGGCACTATCATCAGCTCAAGTCCAGGGCCCCACGATCAATTAAACATTCTGTTCCTTTGCGTATTTGTTCCCTGCAGAGTCTCTGGTAAAAGTGTTGGGGGGCATATTCAACCAGGTCATCATCATGCTTGTTTGCTGCTTTGGGAGGATTTCCCCCAAAATCTGAGGGTTGAAGAAATGACTGCTGGAGAGGAGATCCTGCCTCTCCATTTTTGGATAGGTGAAGGCAAGAGCAGTGTCTTACTTGAGGTAATTAAAGGGGTGATACAAGCAGCTATGGTGGCTTAGTGGTAAGGAGTTGCACTGCCAACCAAAAAGTATGTGGTTCAAATCCACCAGCTGTCCTGTTGGGCAGTCATTTTCTGTATGATTTACTGCCTCTGGAAACCTGCTGGAAGGTCGGCTACAAGTCGATTCTGACAACAGTATATAACATAAGCAGCAAGGAAGCAGTCTTTTGGGGACGCAGTGTTAGGAGGAGGCTGGTCCATTCCATTTCTTCTTGATCTCTAAGCACAATGTGGATTCTGGGGCCAAAAGTCAGGGACATACCTGTCAGGAGTACCTGGGGTTGGGTGGGTGGTGAGTGGGTGGGTGCAAGGAGTGTCACCTCCCCTCACAAAGGAGGGCTTGGAGGACAAGAAGCAATCTGTTTTCATTCTGCTTCATTTTCCTTTTAAAACAAGGCCAGGCAGCCCCTGGAATCTGTCTGCCTTTGTACTCCTCCTGTCCTAAAAATAGAGGGGACATTTTTCTTACACACCCCCAGAGAGAGTAGGGACTGTCACACTGGTGCTGAGGGACCCAGGGGCTGCCGGGAGTCCTTGCTCCTTTCCAGAACCTTCCATCCCTAGAAGAGCACAGAACCCCAAGGGCTGGGCCGAGTCCTTGGTGATTTCTTACAGTTCACAGAGGTCTTTTAGCTGATCTAATCCCAGGAAAAACAATAATGTGTCAAAGCTATAATGTGAATATAACTTTAGTGGACCAATAATAAGATGTAAGAAGTCCAATAAAGAGAAAAGTGAATCCTCCCAGTACTACTTCCTGTTTTCTTCCCCTATTTCCCTCCAGGGAAAACGACTTTATTGCTTAAGTTCTGCCTTCACCCCCCACCCCCCAGCACTTTTGGGCTTTTTCTTTCTTTTTTTAATAGCTGGGGGGGATGGGAATACTATCCCATGAACCTGTATTTAAAAAGAAATGACCATGTGAAATTTGCCTCTGTCCAAACATTTCATCTGTGTGTGTGGCGCCGTCCATTCATCTTTTTCTACGGGGTTGTTGTCTATTCTGGTCTGTTTGGTCCCTTCCCCTGTGGGCTTGTGCTCAGGATCAGATCTCTCCGGCCTGTTATTCTGAACATTTTGACTTGAACCACAAGTGAATCTTTCTTCTGGTGACTTAAATAAAAGTATAATTTTTACCTGCTGACTTGGTTTCCTCTCTGGCTCGGAGTGTGTGTGTAAGTGTGCACGCCCCAGTTGCTTGAGGCATCGGTTTGTTGTCCTCCTGGGAGCCCTGCTGACCTTTAGTGAGAAGAATGACTCTTTTGGAAACCTTCAGCTGGAGAGGAGGGAGAAAGGAGGAAGGAAGGGGCGGCTGGCTTGCTTTCAGTCTGAAAGCTCTCAGGCCTTGGTACCTACTTCTTTTGTGAACTCTAATCCCAGCAGTCTGCTCCGGGCCATTGCCCACTCATTCCTCTGTGCCCATCTTGGGGACATTCCCTGAAGCTTCCCTGAACTCCTAAAATCTATTGCTGTTTTGACTATGCTTCTGTGTCCCCAGATACTGATGAGGGCAAGTTACTGGTTGCTGTCAATTCTGGCAGAGGGCAACTCCATGTGAGACCACACTACAGGGTTTCCAAAGCTGTGACCTTTTGGAAGCGAACGCCAGGCCTATCCTCTGAAATGCCTCTAGTAGTAGAGCACTTACTCTTAAATACTACTGTGAGGGAGCTGTGTTGGCTTAGTGGTAAGGAGCTGCTTTTCCAACCATAAGGCAGTCGGTTCAAAACTCACCAGCTGCTCAGTGGGAAAAAGATGGGCAGTCTCCTCACATGTTGCTTCTGTAAACCCACTGGAGAGTCAGCTATAAGTCACTTCCAACTCTACGATACAGACAGCACTGTGGTAAGGAACTGCACTGCCAACTTAAAGGCACATGGTTTGATCACCAGCTGCTCCTCCTGAGAAAGGTGGGCAGTCTCCTCCCATGTGATTTACAGCCCTGGAAAACCTGGGTGATCAGCTAAGAGTTGGTTCCAAATGGACAGCACGTAGTACTGAGGAACAGGCACATACCTTTTCAATAAATGTTGAGTTAACAAATAAGCTCACTATGGGAACAGTAAGGTTCTAGAACTCTGTCACTGCTGGGCACTAGAGCTTGTAAAAGGAGCAGTGGTAACATGGGAAACACCAAGTCTGACTTCTGCTTCATAAAGGGGAACTTTCCTCATCAAAAATATGCATAGTGCCATACAAAGACTACATTGTCAGAGAGGCCACCACACATGCTCCTGCACCTGTTTCTACCAATCATTGGGCCCAATGTTCGCTGCAAATTGACTCACAGTTGTGGGTCTTATTAGGGAACTAGGTTGGGGAATGGGGAAGGCAAAGAATATCACACAGATTTAGTCCAACAGTCCCAAGCCGGATTAACAGCACAACATAAAATTCCTCAATTAGTTCATAGAACTCAGTCAACAAGTGAAAGTCTGGGTTCAGTTCAGCACAAATAAACCTCTACTTTCCTCAACTGTCCAATAAGCTTTATCTCAGAACAGTTACAAATTAGCTCTTCCTTCAGTCATCCAGCAAGCAAAACCTTTAACTGAGGCTCCATCTCCAGAGTTCCTCTGGTTACACTTTACCACAGTCTCTTCACCCTGTCTCCACCACACAAAGCTTTCACAGTGTGGAAAACTTTCTTATACTGGTGCCACAGCTGCTGATGATTTGCAAGATGATATGTCCATAATTAAGATGGAGACAATGCCCCCAAATGGGGCTAACACATGGATAGACAAGCCAATTTTCAAGATTTCTGATGCCATAAAGTTCAACATGTTTAATGAATGAAATGACTTGGAGCATCTACCATAAACCAACTTTAAGATGGTCTGGCAGCCCCAAATGATAATGATGCCATGTAACTGATTTTTTAATACATTCTTCCATTTGATCTTACCTGTGCTATGAGAAAAGGAACTATTGTTATTCCTGTGTTATAGATGGACTTCTCTGGGAAACCCGGAAAAATGAAGTGCCTTAGTTGAAATAGCTCACATAGGTGCTGAGCTGTGGGCGTGTGATCTTGGTGTGGTGTTCACAGCCTCATACCATGCTCCCTTTTGCCACAGTGGGCCACATGATGGAGACTTCTGCAGCTCTCACATTAGTGCCCACCTCCTCATCTCTCCAAGTGACCAATGTCTATAATTCTGCGCAGGGGATAGGGTAGAGCAGGGAATACAGCTTCAGCCTGACATCAAGCCTCAGCGGAGGGGGACATTTCCCACTTTCCGCTTATACTTAGAGCCCCTCTCTGGTTTCAGGAAAGCAAGGTGGAGAGGGGTTTTCCTTGAACTAAGGATCTGTATTCAGGAGAATGGCTCTTAGCAAGTCAGCAGACCTGGAGGAGGGAAGGGAATGTCCTGGATGTCACTGGGTGGTATAATTAAAGACAACACTGACACCTGCTCCCCTCCGGAGGTGCTGGCGCCTGATATTTTCCCAGTAAAAAGGATTAGTTGGTTAA